TGACCCAAGTCCTTAAGAAATGAGTCACAGCAGTCGTCCAAGTTAGTTTATTGTAACTCTGTAGTGGCAAAACCCTGGGAGGATGCTCTGTCCTGACTTCCCCATTCAGAGTCTGTATACATACTTCCCTGGCCGGGCCCTAGGTGGGACAGTTTCCACTTTGGTCTCTCCAAGGCTAAAAGGAAGGCCAGACTCGGAAAGAGGGTGGCTAGACCTCAATATGCTGAGGCCCCTGTGGCGCTTCCTTTTCCTGTGTTTTATCAGAAGATGACACAGCTGAGACTGTAGTCAGCAGTCGAAAGTTTGTGCTGGTCCTGTATCTCCTCGGTTTAGCCCACTACAGTCAGGGATTGAATTCTTTTAAAAGCCATTTACTCATCAAGTGTAAGGCACTGCTAGTTGTTAAAACTCAGTGACAACAAAAAACAGTTCTTGTCTCTCATACCTTGGTGTGTAAAGCTGGTTATCACTCACTAGAATTTCAGTCTTCTGGAGTAGATGAGACAAAGTGGAATTATTTTGCATGTCTCAGGAGGCAAGTCAATCTGTGACTTGCTTAAACTGCTTTCTATGTCTTGGTGGGCAAACTACCCACCCATCCACACATGCACACATGTGCGCACACATACACACACACACACACACAAAAACACACATCAGTGTATCCTAGGCATTATACTTGGTTTAAGGTGAACCATGATTTTGGACTGCATTTCTTGGCTTCTGAAAAAAATCGTTTTCTGACTTGAATTTCAAAATGTTTGTTATAATTTTATGTTGCTATTGCTTGGAAAAACCCTGAACCGTCTGTGTCTCTGGTATGTTTACTGTCTTTGATAATGAGAATTTTGGAGCCAACATCATTTCTTTTTATACATGGCTGCCAGAAGTCTGGGAACAAATTTACAGCTCAGCCAAGACCAAAGGATAGAATCCGTTATCAGCGCCTCCTTCTGCTGTTGCCGCCCCTCGCCTACCTTCACATCCTGTTCACAGGACATATCTGTTTTCTATAGACCTCATTGTTTTACTTATGTTTAAAATTTTAATACTTCTAGTGTCAAAATTGTTTCTGGTCCTTTTTAGAAGAAGGTAAAATGTAAATATTTTTATATTCTGTAAACCTCAGGGAAACTCACCAGAAAAATTAGAAAGAAGACAACTTACCTGGAGGAAAGGGGCTGGGGAAGGGTTAAATTAAATTGTGTCAATAAGTTTCCAGAAACACTGAATCACAAACCTAATGTATGAAAGAAGAATTAGAACCTTGCAGATTTAGCCATTGCTGAGATTTTGTAAAAGAATTCATTGAAATGTCAGATAAAATGTAACTGTCTAACATTACATCCTTTCTGTTGACTTCATCCACCATAGCTATGCATTCAACTTTCCTAGAAGGAAAAAAAGACACTTTTGACACTAAATACAGCACAGATGTCATCTTTTGTGATCCAGCTCAACTTAAGGTGGATTCTTGAGAAAAACAGCAGGGGAACACTCCAGAAGCAATAGACTAGACGGTGGAGCCAAATCAGGCTCCAGCATCTTGTGGTCTACACAGTCTTGGCACTCTGAAGCTACATAATTTTTTTCTAAAGTAAATTAAGATTAGAATATGGACTGTAGCTTCTAAAATGTTATAAAGCTCAAATAAGAAAATGTACTTGTATGAAAATTAAATGTTATAGGTTTTTGGGGTTTTTTTTGAGGAAGATTAACCCTGAGCTAACATCTGCCACCAATCATCCTCTTTTTGCTGAGGAAGAGTGGCCCTGAGCTAACATCTGTGCCCATCTTCCTCTATTTTATAGTGGGACGCCTGCCACAGCATGGCTTGCTAAGCAACGCATAGGTCTGTACCCGAGATCCAAACCCCTGGCTGCTGAAGCTGAGTGCATGAACTTAACTGCTAGGACTCCAGGCCAGCCCCAAATGTTATCATCTTTTGTTGTTGCTCTTATTAGGAAGAAGAACTGTGACTTCTCAGGCCACACTGAGGAACCCCTTCTGTGTTCTCAGCTTACACACACTTTCTGTTGAGCAGCTAGAATCTCATTCAGTGACTTTCCCTTTATATGCTTGCTGCCCATGTACATGTTCAACTGCGTACACAGATGATGTTTCCTTCCTGGGCTGAGGACAATCAGTCACTCCATAGATATTTACTCAATGATTGAATGTGAAGGAAAGCTACTCTAGAATCATGACTAGCCCCTCTTAAGTAACCCTATCCTTTATTTCACAGGAGTCAAAATGAGAAAACAAATTTGACCTAAAACAAATAAAATTCTCTATCTTGTAAGACTCCCTGTCTTTCATAGGTCTTCTAATGGCTTAATACCCACAGAACTGTTATTATTTTCTACAGTTTTATAACAGCCATGTATGCATTAAGCCTGGAGCTGATCCTTTCAAAACTAGGTGCACAGTGTGATAATGTGGGTCAGTATCTGCAATCCCTGCGAGTACTTTTCTTCACTCTTTTTGTAACCTTCTGTCTCCTGAGATCTCTTGGCTAGATTTTACCAGGTTCACTGAGTTCTGAGAGGACGGAAATTCTTGAAATCCTGGGAACTGGTGGCAAGATAGCTCTCAAAGGCACATTTACTATTTCTGTTGGAATGCATTCTGCCTGCCCTGCTACAAGCTTCCTGGATGGCTATGTTGAGGTGCACCCTGAAGTCATTCTGCAGGAGTCCCCTCCTGTGGATGACTGGATTTGGGCTGAAACTCCCACAAGGACGCAGGAGGACCTGAGCCTATGCAGACGCCCCCTGGACTGCAGATAACTGATGGTAGCATCTGGGGAGAATGGCTGCCCATCAAAGAGGACCCTGAGAAAGAAAATACCATGAGAACCTGGGGGGAGGGAGGAGGGCCTGAGACACGGTGATGGCTGAGTAGCACAGAGGTCCCTTCCAGCTGGTGACCAGGAGTGTCAGTGGCACCGAGGCTGGCAGGATCAGGATCACCCCCTTCCCCTGATGCTGAGGAAGAGCTTACCACACCCACTGCCCCACTGAGGCCCACCCACTGTCCATCCCACTGTCCCTAACTCCTGTCCTAGGCTGAGGAGCCGGGACAGACAGAGGGGCCGCTCTTCCATCGGGGCTCGGTCCCGTGGACAGAAGCTGGCTCAGGCAGGGCCTGTGCCACAGCAGCCAGGATGGTCACAGCAAGAGTCCCTGGTGCTCAGGGGTTGAGGAATGTGGCTGGTCCCGGGCAGCAGGGACGCCTGACGGGCGGGCAGGGTGGCCTGAGCCCTGGGTGGAAAAGTGAGACTGAGGCCTATGGTCCTGAAGTCCCCCTGATGTGGGGTCAGGCAGTGAGGAGGTGGGAAGGACAGACACATGGCCAAGGGGGGTGTGGGTCGGGGCCTGGGTCTCCAAGCTCGTGGGGGTTCACCTACATTTAGGTGCGCTCCTACTGGAAGCCTACTCGGCATCAGCTCTCTCTCTCTCTCCCTTTTTTTTTTTTATTCTGAATGATTTTATTTTTAAGCGTTATATAGACATTTATACGTGCACGGAGGATGTATTTCATGTACACGGATTAGGCAGCTATTTAAGGGCAAGCGCCCACTGGGAAATTATTTTCTACAAGAATAAAGCAGAAAATAACACAGCTCAATTTAGGACATGAAAACTAGACATGGATACAAAGAGTGGACATAGCGTTTTATAATGGAGAACAGTCTCTTCACCCCCTCCTCCCTCCTAGGTGGTCACCATAGGGGAGAAAACCCTCTGTCCGGAAAATCAAGGACAGAGCTTCCAGGTGCTGGTTCCCAGAAGGCGAGGGAGAGAAAAGAAGACCACCAGACAAATAGGCGCTGTGGTAGTGGGCTACAGCCTTGCCACAACCCGCAGCTTGTAGCACCCGGAGTGTGGCATCCTGGTCACTGAAGAGGTGATGCGTCCCCTGCTGCCCACCTCTCCCCGGCAAACTCAATCCCCTTGCCTCACAGGAGCATCAGAAAGATCCTGTGTTCCTCCAGCTTTAGATTCTTTTCTTTGGCTACATGTGGGAGACAGGCAGAGTCCAGAGGTCTAGAGAGGTGCCGAGCCATGAAGGGAGGCAGGCTCTCCCGCAGGTCCTCTGTGAGCCCGCTGAGCAACTCCTGTCAGTACATAGCTACAGCGTACAGCTAGGAATTGGCAGAGGCTGGATTTTAAAACACTGCTTCCAAATCTGAGGCCATTGCTCTTTTCCTTTAGAGCACAGTGACGGCATTTGTAAAGGTACGGAGATACGGTGGCATAGAGAGGTATATTAAGTTAAAACTCCATAATAAAAAGAGTGACTATTAATGTATTAGTCTGCTCAGGCTGCCAGAACAAAATACACCAGAATGGGTGGCTTCAACAGCAAAAATTTCTTTTCCCACAGTTCCGGGGGCTAGAAGGCCAAGGTCAAGGCGCAGGCAGATTCAGTTTCTAGTGAGAGCTCTTCCTGGCTCACAAGCAGTGCCATCCTCACATGGCCTCGCCTCTGCGTAAGCGAGCGAGAGAGAGAGCAAGCTCTCTGAGGTCTCTTCCACTTCTTCTAAGGACAGTAGTTCTATGGAGTTAGCACCTCACCTTTATGACCTCATTTACTTTTAATTACCACCCTAAAGGTCCTATCTGCAAACACAATCACGTGGTGGGGGCAATTAGAACTTCAACATGTGAATGTTAAGGGAATGTAATTCAGTCCACAACCTCTAGAAACGTAACTGATGAATTTATATCACAAGGATTTTCAGAGACTTGAGCTGGAACTCTGCAACTAGACGTTTTGGTCCGGTGAAGTATTTAGTGCATATTCATCCAGAACACACCATTTTCTGCAGCTTAACCAAATGACCATGTAATACAATATTTTTAACCAGAATTCTAAATGAATTTCATGAGGTAGTTTTTCTTTTTTTTATTCTTTTCAGTGAATGACAGATGCTTAAAGTGGAGGGGGAGATTATAGAATTTACTGAAAAGATTTGCCTTTCTTTCATTTTACAGGCGCAACAGCTTACTGATCTGGAACAAAAACTGGCTGTGGCCAAAAATGAGCTGGAGAAAGCAGCTTTTGACCAGGTAAGTTTACACCTATAAACCATCATAACTTTGCCTTTAAAAAAGCAGACAACGCTAGGGTATATGCATGGCTTCTCTTGATTTACTGATGCAATTTGAGATGCTGGGCGTGTGAGATGGTTATAGAATTCATGAGTGCTTGGTATTCCCTTTGGAACCTGGTTCTTTCCTTGTTTTGCGGCTACAGTAAATTGACTCAAGGCTGAGGCTCTGTGAGTTCAGGGCTTCATTTTTCACCTTACTGGTCCATTTGTTCTATAACACAATGAATAAACATGCTTTAAAGCACCAGCAAAGATGCCGTGTATCAACCTGAAATGAATGACATATAAAGCAAATGGAAGCAGTCATTGACACTTTTCATTTTGGACATTTTAAATCAGAGTTCTGGGGGTAGAGGCATAAAAGAAGAACGTAGCTCTCTTAACCAACTCTGTTCATATAAAGATAATGCCAGAGTGGGTGACAGTTCACCTTTATTGTAGCTTTACTGAAATATAATTCACGTACCGGAAAAATCACACTTTTAAAGTTCACAAAGTTGTGCTACCATCACCACAAATTCCAAAAGATTTTCTTCACCTCTTTCTACTTCGTTTATTTCATTTTGGTTTTATTAATCTCTCGTTGTCTGACTATTTTGTGTGTTCAGGATTAACCACAGCTCCCAGCTGATGCCGACTTTACCTTTCAATGCTCTTCACGTGTAACGTGTGTGGAGAACAGGGAACTGGAATATGGACGGGGAAGTATAATACAGAGGAAGGGATTGGTCATGTCATTCAGAGTTACTGTTCTGTTTAATGGCTATGATATAGGGCAAAATTTCTTAACACTTCTCACTCTTTTCTTTTTTCATATTTAGAGCAACTTTGTGAAATTGTGGACAATAAATATTCCTTTTTTCTTTAGTTCACACAGAACAAAAGGGCAGAGAGGTTTTAAAGTACTTTATTTCTTCATTCAATCAGCATTCGTTTATTGAACATCCAAGGTAATTTTCTCTAATCCCTAGAATGAACATCCAGAACATATTAGTACAGGAAACTCGGAATCTGAGAAGTGGACCATGATATTTCAGACTCAAGGAGACAAGTTCCCCATTGCTCTCAATCAAAAGCGTGGAAAATATGTGCCCCAGGCACAGGGCGAATCCAGGAGTAATCTGCATTTCACTAAACCCTCAAAGGATCTTCTGACTGAGATCAATTCTTGATTAGATTGGAGTTATCAGCCATCATTCCATCTAAGGTGGAATAGTAGGCCCTCGCTTGTGGAAGGTATCACCTTGAGACTTTTTGGTTCATTTATACACAATATCTGACATGTAATAGAAATATTTCTAGATATGTGGAGGGGGCATGCCATCTGATCAATAAAAAGAAGGGAAACAAGACAAGCAGGCCTGGAGCTGATTCAGCTGTGGGAGTGAGAAAATAAATACAATGTTAACAACTGTGATTTATATATACACATATACACACACATATACAATAGTATATTATGTTCATAAAGTAATATATATAATATATGTAGCAATAGAAGAAAAATAAAACAGATAAAAGGATAAAATTTTCACTAGACTTGGAATCTATAAAAACAAACCAAGTAGATATTCTAGAATTAGCAAAATGTAATACACGTAATTAAGAATGTAACTGCTGTATTGGATGATTAGACATTGTAGAGCTGAAGACGAGTGGAACAAAAGGACAAATAATACCAAATACAGGTGCCAATGTGTAGAAAGTACCAGTAAACAAAAAGAGATTAAGAAATGTATAAGACAAATTCAAAATTTCTAAAACATTTACAGTTGTTGTCCCAGAGGAGTGACAAGCAGAAACAATATTTGTAGAGATAATGGCTAAAAATTTTTCAAAGTTTTGAATGACATGAACCACAGATTCAAAAATATAAATAACCCACAAGGCAGGTTAAATACAAAGGTAACCACATTATAGTCAAATTGTTGGATATGAAAAAGATAAGCTAAAATAGAAAATGAATAGTAAAATGGTAGATGTCAACTTAAGTATGTCAGTAATTATACTTTTTAAATGGTCAAAATATGCCACTATAAGGCTAAAATTATTAGATGATATTTAGCAAAACTTTGATTCATACAAAAGACACTTTTAAATGTAAAGAAATAGGAGGTCTGTAAGTAAAAGAATAGAGAGAAAAGATAAACTACACAAACAATACAAAGTAAGCTTGCGTAGCAAAAGGAGTATCATTTAAAGTCGACTTGAAGTAAAGTATTTTCAGTGATAAGAAGGGAGTCTTATATGAGTCAGTCCAAGAGGAAGCTATCATCATTAAATCAGTATGCGTACAGCAATAGTCCTTTAAAATGCATAGAAATTTTTAAAAAGTGCACTTGCGACCCATGCACTTTTTCCTTGTTTGCTATGTTCCAATATAATTTATTAACTAAGTAAAAGACACATAACCTCACCAGAAAAATGGAAAAGTGAATAAAAACAATGACATCATCTTAACACCATCAGATTGGTAAAAATTAAAAAGTCTGATGATACCAAATTCTGATAACACTAGTGGTGGGAGTGTAATTCTTAAAATCAGTTTTTAAATGCATGCACCTTAGAATTTGTACTTATCCATATGTACTTGGAAACATGCAGATGGACATTAAATACAGCAATGTTTGTATTAATATTAAGTGGAAATGATTCAAATGCTTACTGTTAAAGTTAATTATACAATTCATATATTTTCTATAATCGTTTTCAAATTGTAATCACAATTTAATACTAATGAATAAATATGAAGATGTTTGTATCAATATTGATACATTATAACTATAGTGTTGAGTGAAAACAGTTCAGAATTATATGTATAGTATTTAACAATTGTTCAAATACAGAAAACACATTTTGTTTTGAGTATATATCACATAAATAAAGTAGAAAAACACATATCAAATTCATGGATGTAACTGCCTTTAGAGAAAGACAGAGTGAAATAATACCGGGGAAGGTGACAAATACTTCTACTATTTCCCAAATGTTTTGTCTTTCAATGACTATATGGATACAGATAGTCTTTAATTCATACACATTCATATATGTATATTGCATGCATTATATACATCATTATATAGTATACACATTGTACATATAAATTAGATATATGGAATACATGGATATGTGTATATTACAAATATGTATTTGCATGTACTATCATATATAATGTTTTCTACAATTATATACATATTATATCATATATAGCAAATATGTAATCAAAATGACTTTATGTTTTTAATTCTGATTGATATTTACCTGATATTTGTTATATTTCTTATGTTGTTCTCTATTTGCCCCCATATTTTACAAAATAAGTTATTTTTAAAAATGGAGACGGTATTCTGTCTGCTGTCAAAGACTTTTCGTTTTTGTGATCACAGTTTAGTGACCATTATATTTAGAAAAATAAGCAAGTAAGATGAGCGCATTCATAGACTTCTTTTGCAATAATATGCTGCATACATTGAGAAATTTTGTAAAGAAGGAGGTTCCCTCCTAACCACCAACTTGAACCATGGGTGTTTTGACATAGAATAGAGGAGTGGGAATGTTTCAGGCTGATTCAGCTTGGAGCTCTCGTGGTATCTCCCTCTTCCTGTGCAGTAGTTGTGAAGGACAAGCCTAAAATTCTGCCTCCCAGAGATGTGGGTCTCCCCTAGGCATTTTCTGGACTTAGGTATGACCAAAATGTCTTCACAGGTAACATAGTTAACTTTTCAAACAGGACATGTAGACAGTATTGCAGTAGACGAATTAGTAAGGACATTTTGTGACTTTTAGTGATATTCCTTCTTAAGGTTTAAATCTTTGGGAGATGTTGCTGCTGCCGCTTCTGCTGCCAACATGGGTGGAGAATAAGGCTAAATTTAAGGCATAAGTATGTGAGTTATCTCTTTACAAGACAAAGGAAAAAATATGAAAAAAGTTAAAGTGGTATCAGTGCAGGTGGGGTCTGGTCATTGGGTGATCCCATGACTTTTAGACAAGAATCAAATCGGATTAAGTAAATGTCAGAAGCCACCACCCTAAATCAGTTACATGAGATTGCCAGACAGTAACCAACTTAAGTTCTTGCCTTCCCCATTAAGAGTTTCTAGAGACAAAGTCATCTCCCTTCTTTCACAAATGCAAATGTCTCTCAAAGGGCAAGCAAATTCCAGTCCTCGGAGCCTGCTTCTCATCTGCAGTTTTAAAATTAACCGGCCTAAAATAATCCTCATCAATAGAAGCACAGAGAATGAATATGTATATTTTAAGTCCTTGCGGGTTATAAGGACTGGTGTAGTCGCATATTATTTCATCGACACATTATAATTTGGCCTGAGACACAGAACTCAGGGTTAATGTAGAGTTTTCCTTCCTTCATCCTACCTATTCTATCCTTTCCTCCTCTCCATTTCTACTTCCCCCCACCACCGTGTGCCTAGCCCACATCATGCCACAGTCCAGATGCAGGATGAGAGGCTGTATGTTGCAGTGTTTAAATAAAGGTCTGCAGAGTCAGTTGGTCTGTTCAAACCATAACTCTTCCGCTGACCATGTTCGAATCCCTTAAACTCTACGCTTCACTGTAAAATGGAACCATAAAATTCCTTTATAAGAGTGATGAGAAAATAGCATGCATCCAAAAAGTAAAATACTGAGGAGAACTCTTGGCACATGGAAAACACTCAGTAAGTACAATAATTACTACTCTTAGTGAATGAGATCAGAGACTGCCTCTCCGTGGTCATAATTTCTCTCTTTAACCTTAAGGATCTTGTCACTCCTTTTGCTCCCGTGATCTATAAAAGCATTTCATATTATCGGAGGTTGATTTCAACAAATCTCATGTAAGGTATGTGATGGGCTCACAAACTGCAGCCATAAAGTCAGGTAGAAATGCTAGCTCACTTCAAAACGGATAAACCTACAGTTGAATGAAATCGCTCTTCACCACTCTCCATCATCTTTATATGAGACTTTTTGCTCTCTTCAGGTGTCTAGCTACTAACAATGTTATATCTGGGCTTCAAATAACCTTAAATACCCCATAAATATTATGAAAACAACATCTTCACACTCCAACTTGGTTCTTATGACATATTTAATGAAAGAAGTCTCAGTTTACTATTGCAGTATAAACAAGAATAATCTCAAAATCTCAGAATCAACCTTGGTTTTCCAAACAACCAATTATTTATTTGACAATACCTTATGAATTATAGCTAGGCTCAGCTACTGGAATGCAGAAACAGCTCTCTGGTATGGAAATCTATCTTGTAAACTTTCATGTTAAAAAAGATTTTATTGCATCTGACCCTCACAAAATTTTGCCCAGGAAAGCAGGCGTTATTACATCTGTGTTACAGATGACACAAGGAAGCCGACCTACACAGACTCCTGGGACTAAGCAGTAAAGAATGAGAACTCTTTTTGCCACAGCATATGTGGCACATGGCAGGAACATAACAAATAGTTATTGGGTGAATAGATAAATGAAGACCTAACTTCGTAAATTATTGAATGTGCTATACATCCTGCATACAAGGGACCTGGAGATCACCTAGAGTAGAGAGGCAAAAAATACTGAATGACCTTCTGGGCGTCAGAGAGCTGATTTCATGGCAGAAAGAAAGTTGACGGGAATTCACAGCCCTGTGTGGTCTCTGCAAAGCCAGCAGCTGTTACTGCACCCAGATCTCTCTGAGGACTTCACGTTGTCATGCAAATGAGTTAAGATGGACATGAATAACACCTTGTGAATTTTTATTTGTCAGGAGATGAGAAATTAGAGGCACAGTTGTCTTTGCAAGGAACATCTTCTTCCCAGAAAAATGCTTTTTTTCTGTATACTTTACACAGTTTATGTCATATTTCATTAGATGCCATCTAGCTTCAGTGAACTTCAAAGTGAACAGTAGCCTGCAGTTTTGAATCAGGCTACAGCTAGTGATATAAATGAAAATGGAATGATGCCGTGGTGTAAAATCATTGTCTGGGTCCTGCTCATGGAACTGGGTCAGGCCAAACTTGAGTAGGGTCAGTAATAGGCTTTATTAAGTTATAGGAACAAACTAGAAAGCTGGGAGGTTTTTTTGGTAGAAAGCTGACCAAATTAGGGCAGAGTTGCTCACAGCAATCTGTGGTCTCTGGCAGGAAAAATCTACAATGTAATCAAGGAATGGAGCCAGAACCTAAGATAGGAGACCAAGTCACAGGTTTGTGGACCACAAAAGAAATGAAATCAGAAGCTAAGAGACTAAGAATAGGTTGAAACATAAGAGCAAAGATAGTTTATTACCATGGCTCTCAAAGGGGAAGAGTTGGAAACTACGTCTAAGTGATGTTGATTCTGTTATCTGAGATTGTCCTGACAAGGTCAGAAGACCACTGTAAACAGATGAGATGATCACTCCAAAGTTCAGATAATTAAAAATATAACATATACACTCATCCCCATTTATTGTTTCATCAGAAAAGGTCTTGCCTAAATATGTTGACTGAAAATCAATATTTGAAACTATTAACTTGACGCTGTTCGCTATTTATTTTCAACATCCAAGTTCAGCCATTAATTGGGAATTATGGCAACAGATACCTCAAGCCTGTTATAGATCCAACTTTTAGATATATAGCGTGTTAAGAAGAGCAAAGATATGAATACAGTGAATACAAGAATCATCATCACTTCTGGCATGATTTGATCATGGGAAGTCAACATTTGAAATCCACATTAGCTTTGAGTCCTGGCCAAGACCTGCCTGACTCTATCACATTAGCTCCATCTCCATTGTCTCTCTATAATATGAGAAACAGAAAACGTATTTAAATTGTTCAGTGCCACCTGGGATATTTCACTCCTGACACAGCAGCCAATACCGTGATCTCCTATTCTGTCGTGAGACAAGGGAGGGTCAGCCAAGATTATGAGAAAGAACCAATAGGAAGAGCAATCTGAACTGTGACTTCATTTCTTTTTATTGATGTAGCTTGTTAGTTTCCTTCTGTGACATACAGAAACAACATTTTCACCTAAGTTTTAGGTCATTTATTCGAAAACCATTTATGTCAAGTCCTGTCTAATGTGTCAAGGATTGTGTTAAGTGCTAGATACATAGTTCTGAACAAAATAGCCAACTTATACAAGTGTGTACATACATATGAGTTAAAAATTAGTGATAAATTATATGAAGGAAACAAACAGGCTAAATCATAGAAAATAATGGGTTGAGGTAAGGGCAAGAATTCAGGGACTCAGGCAAGCAAATCGAAGAGACCATTTTGAGTAAAACCTTTCAATATCTAAATGTCATCTTTCAGCTTGGCCACCTCCTGTCCACTTAATGCTCTTCCATCCTAGTCCTTATCAGATTCTTATTTTGTCGTAGACAACTTGACAGAGCAAGATTAATGAGAAGCAAATACATGTCTGTCCTAGTTCTTATATGTTTCCAATTGCTGCTCTCACTGCTGGTTTTTCTTTAAATCTCTTGACACAACCAAAAGAGAGAGTTCTTAAACTGCTATTCTAGCAATGGACACTCTCATCTTAAAGACAGATATTATCATATAGCACATATGAGTAGAAACACAGAAGTAGGCATTAGGAAGAATCTAAGTCTAGACACTACTCACAAGAAATTAACCACAAAGGCTTTATAGGATACGGCAAGCAAGGGAGGATGCTGTGTGAAGGTGTACTCCTGATTGAGTATATAAAAGGCAGTAGTTGTATTGGGAGCGTACCACTTTGACGGGCAGAGACGACAGGGCTTGCTGCTTCATTGATCCAGGGGTCACTGAAAGGGTAAACTCTGCACGTGCTTGGGATCTTGGCCCCAGTACCTAATCTATCTCCTCATCTCTCTTGGCCCAAAGACCACATCTCATGACTCAAAATGAATGTTTATGTGGCATTGTCTTTTTAGGACCTATATCCATGCTCCAAATTCCTCCTGAGTTACCATGAGATTTCCCAAAATTTGTATGCCTCTCTTCATTGAGGAACCTGAGTGTCTGTTTGGCCACATACCAAGTTGGGTAAGCAGGTATGGGATAGCTTGCAGAAAGACTAAAGAAAAGACCCAGAGATGGCAAATGAGACATATAGATTTATTGGGAGTCGCTTACAGGGACTGTCCAGTGGCGGCCAGCAGGATAGAAGTGTGCACCTGCTACTGCCCTTGAGAGAAGCTTGCTTAAGTAGGCAGAGGAACAAAGGCTGCGTGCTTGCCGATGGTAACTGTCCCTTTATGACCTGCATTCTAAGGACCAGAGCCCCACCAGAGGGCCTCATGTTCCCTGAGACTGTGATGTCCTTTGTGCTAACTATCCCGTGAGAAACAGCTGGGTTGGCCAAGCCCAGGACTGTTATCTTGAGTGCTGGGCACAGTACAGACAAGGGGCTTCAAGGATGCATGTCTGCTGTTAAAGGGCACTCAGACTAGTGCCCCTATTTTATGTCTCTGTGCTCAACTTTGTTATTACTTTTTTTTACCTTATCAGCATTTAAAAATATTTTTAATACTGGGAACTGGGGGTTAGATGGAAGTTAGAGATGGTTTTCCATGTTAGTTCAGTCTGACTTGTGATGTAAACCAGAAGTAAACCAGTCTGAAAACCTTGAACTTTCTTTTCTTCAAAGTAAAACAATAATAATAATGCCAGTTTCACAAATGTTTGAAAGCATAAAATTACCTCTTGCATGTGAAAGTGCTTGGAATATTGTGATATCTTATTAATATAAGAAAGTGTTAAGATTATCATTTACAATCACATCAGATTAACTTTCACCACATAACAAGGCCCAGAGGAAATAAGAGTTTTATGAGAAACAAATTTATTTTCCCAATATCTGGGGAAATTGAGCAGAGGTACAGGCTAATCTGGGAAAAACAGGGGCCTATGTTGCTAGGCAAACCATTTGCAAGAAAGGAGGTTGACACTAATAAAAAGATGGCAGGTTTCTAAGAGGGACATTTCTACTTCAGAGGGACCCTTAGAGTATATTTTCTCACCAGCAAACGATCGTGATTGAAATAATGTCAATTCAAGGGAGAAAAGTAAAATATGTCTCTTTCAGTGTTCAAAATATATCATGAAACACACCAGCTCCTAAAAACAGACTGAACGTGCATTAAACAGGATGTCATAATGGAATTCATAAACTAGGCAATTGCATTTGAAAACTTATAACGCATTTGTGTGGGGAGCGAGTGTAGATTAGGGGGACAGGGAGAATCTAATCAGATAAATGGTGGCCAGAGCCACATGGAAACATTGTGATGGCTTTTTCTTTTTTTTGCAGGAGGCGCAGCTGAAAGCAATGAAAGAGACCATACAGCTCTGCCTGTCAACAGTGTTCCGCGATCAGCCTCCCGCTTTGAGTCTATTCAGGGTTAATCCAACTCAGATGTCAATTCTACCCAAGACAGTTGACCCTAAGATTCCAGATGCAGTCACAGAAGGCGAGGTACACTTTATTCATGCTTTGAAAAGTAATATCAAGTAATGTACTGTCTTTATAGTTCATTCTGTATCATCATCAAGGTGGATCCAGGTAAGGTGTCACATTCATTAAAAGATTAGGAAGTAAATGGAAGATAGTAACCCAGTTTGTAAAGTCTCCATGGTCACTTGGAGAACACAGGAAGACAACTTTTCTTTAGTAGAGAGCCAGCTGCTTCTTACGCAGGATTATCTAATTGTAAAATAATAATAATTATTATTATTCTAAAATAATATTCTAAAATTATTCAAAAATAATAGAAATTATGTTTATTGTTGTTTTACAATTGTTAAAAGAAAATATCTTGTTATTACATTCCAGTATACACCAGACGTTCATATGGAAAATATTTTCTCCTAGGGTATAACCATCATCCTCACAAAAGCGGATGCGTATTTAAAAGTTCAAGTCCACAGTTCTCAACAATGCCCGCACATTACAATCCTTTGGATTTTGTGAAACAATTCTGACGCTCCCCTCAGACCTATTAAATCAAATTCTTTCTGGTTTGGCCCCAGTCATCAGCATTTTTTAAAAGCTCCCCAGAAGATTTTGAGACCAACTGACTTAAGCAATTTTTCCTCCAAATCCCCGCCAACCACGTGCCGGGGCTGCTGTTATTTCAAACCTTAGAACCTTCCATTTTGCAGCCCCTAGGTGTAAATAAATCCTGAATAGTAATTGGAGAAAGGCGTTTAGTTTCAGGCAGTATGTTTGAAAGTGCTGGCTCTCCTGTCACTTTCCATAGGGTCACTTGCTGTTAAAAGGAGTCATATAGATACCAGTCCGACTTCTGATGCAAATCTCTGGGGCTGGGCCCAGGAACACCTGAGAGCCACCGAGGCAGATGCCCAATGATAAGATACACCTGAGGCTTTCTTGCTGCTTCTGTCTGTCTTTTCCTATTTTGGGGTTTTGGAGCTGTGGGCAAACTGTAGATTAGTGAAATACTATTACTAATTTCAGGATGAAGAGTCAAAAATAAATGAAATAAAATAAGTCTTCTAATGTTCTGTTTTCATCTTTAGTCAATTCACGGACTGCACAGATTAGTGGGTATAATCTTAAATTTCTCTGGCAAAAGTCATTTAAAAATATGTATTTCCATCTTTATCATATTATTCTATTTGGTTTTATTAGGTACTGAAAGATCTTAAGATTTTCAGGCCAATAATTTTCTCCTTTTTCCTGTCCCTTCTTTGAAAACTCTAGGTCTAACATGTTTGTTTACTTAACCAAACTCGGGGAAGAAAGTTGCATAATAATGACTTTCTTATATTTAGGAAAAGTCTCAGGTACATTTATTGAAACTGGTTGTTGGTTCAGTGCACAGCTACCCACGCAATCTCGCCACTTCCCAGGAAGCCACACTCTGCCTCCACTTGGTGTTAGTCTAAGGGAGGAGGGAAGGCTCAGCACTATGAAGTCTGATGACTTCAGGGAAAGGAACTTTGTAATTTGATGGACACATTACACTTGTCTCCAATTCAAAATATGTTTATGTAAGCCCACTATGAAAACTGGGTTCCTATGACCCTGAATGTGTGGAGGAAATTACTGACTGTTACTTTAATTGATTTACTATCAATAAATATATATGTCCTGTCATTGAAATAAATAATAAATATTTTATTATTTCTCTTGGCTCATCACAGGAAAAGATAGGGAGCATTTCAATGAGCCTGGCTTGGGGATTGCTCATTTTTCGAAAAACAATTACAGGAAAATCCAATTGTTTAAGATAAAGTTCAATAAATCTAAGTTGATGTGCTGTAGAGCACTCTATTTTATAGATTAGCATTAAAAGCTTCTCTGGTGTTTATGTTTTGCCCATATTCGTTATCTTTTCAATAGTGGTGGAAATTGTATTTTGTGTATACTTGGGGCTCAATCTCTATGCAGGCACCTTGCAGATAATATTTTAAAACTCCTGAATAATGTGTTTGGAGTGTGTGTAAGAGAAACAAGCTCTTCAGTCATGGAATAATTTTACTCTCCATACAAAAAGGGTAACTTTTAAATGAGGACGTTTAACTGGTGGGTCTTCAGAGTTGGCTAATTATAGCCATGGTGAAACGATATGCGTGACTGAGAGTTGGAGACAATGACACCATCTAACCTCTTGGTGCCTCGGTTTCCTCAGCACCTATCTCAGAGTGTTGTCATTACAGGAGCACTAGAAATAATAATTCTTCTGCCTTTCTATGATATACGGCTGGTCTCATATGCTTTCATTTGTTTGTCTTAATCTTCAACTCTTCTTTGAAAAAAGAAGAGTATTTGGTTTTTCTTGAAATCTGTGAAACACATCCATTAAGCAGTTTTCAACCTACATCTGGAAAAAGACAAAATAGCCCCCCCAGTGTCATTTTATTTATTTTTCTTTCAGAAATTGGGTAATGCAGTCAAAAACTTTATTGCATCATGCATGTGTATGTATATGTGTATGTGTATGTAGGCATACATGCATATACACATATACATACATGTAAATATCATATACATATACACACATATGTATTCGCTGTGGATTTTCATTAGACCCATTAGCTGCAGATTTCATTAGGAATTCAATATTACAAGAATTTACTGGCAAAAACTTAAAAAATAATTTATATATTTTTAACCCCTACTTTTTTTTTTAAATTCTGGAGCATGCCTGCTACATAACCTTTTGGTCCTATAGCTTATGTTTCTGCCGAGGGCCGTCAGTCAGGCCTGTCAGCCTCCTTTTTTTCATTGCATCCTTCATTGTTGTGATTCCTGCTTCTCTCTGATTTGAGTGAATTTTTCGTACTCTTCCAGGTAGAATTATTTTTTCTATTCTCAGTGCTGGGATAACACAGTGTTTACTTTTTACGACTCTTGGTCCTGCCTTGAACGCAGTGATGACTCCATACTCCTCTCTCCATAAAGGAGATGACTATGCTTAGCTCACTGATTTGCTGTTCATTATTCAGTGTCCAGAGCAATGTTTCTAGAGAATTCACCTGAAATACTCGCTGTATTTCTGTTTTAGTCAGCTCGAGCTGCTCTGACAAAATGCCATAGACTAGGTGATTTAAAGAACAGACATTTATTTCTCACAGCTCTGGAGGCTGTGAAGCCCAAGTTCAAGCTGCTGACAGATTCAGTTGTTGATAAAGTCCTTCTTCCTGAGTTGTAAACAGTGCCTTCTAGCTGTATGCTCACATGTGGTCTTTTCTAGGTGCATGTGCATGAAGAGAGAGAGAGCATTCTCTTCTTTACAAGGGCAATAATCCCACCATGAGGGCCCCACCCTGGTGACTCATTCTAAACCTAATTACCTCCAGAAGCCCTTATCTCCTAATACCATCAAATAAGGGGTTAGGGCTTCGGTGTGAATTTTGGAGGACAAAACATTGAATCCATAGCAATGCCTCTCTTCTTCTTGGATGTTGTCCTGGTTTAGAAGTTAGAAAATATATATTATTGAGTGTTCATTTAGTGCTTAGTATTTAACTAAACTGTTTTCCATCTGTATGCCAGGACTGTGCTCATTGTCGGCAATGTACGTTTGAAATGACACAACTCTGACCTTTTGCAGGTTGTAACCTAATTCTCTGTAAAGAGAAAACAAGAAAAAAATGCAAGGGGTGTGTAGTATATCAGGACTTGTGTGTGTGTGTGTGTAATTCCGTATTCCAGATAGCTTTGATTAAAGATAAAGACTGAGGAGCTACTTGGCTCCAAATGCACATGAGATGATGTCTTTGTTTTGTCTTTGTTATGAGATTGTACATTTATTATGCAGAAAATATTGTTTCAACAGAGAGATGAACAGTAAAGGTATGAGCCAGGAGACCTGATTTGCATTTTGCATAAATGACTCTAACTAGAGTAGAAACAAGCAAAGCAGTGACAGTTTATGTCACTGATCCATTCAGGAGATGACAGTGACCATGGTACAGAAATGGCGATGGGGTTCCAGATGTAACTGAGGCACAGAACTGCAATGATGTAGTGATTAGATGGGATGTGTGAAGGGAGGAAACCAGACTAGCGCTCAGCACAGCGTTTATTCACTGTCATGAGAAAGGCAGGAGGAGCTCTTGAGGGAGAACCCAAGTTGGGTTGTTTTTCAACATGCTAAGTGCAAGGCATCTTTCATAAAATCAAGTGTCTGTTTCCAATAGGTATGTATACATTTGAATCTGGAACTCAGGGAAGACATCTGAGTGGACATAATGGATTTGGAATCATCACCATGGATGACAATTAAATGTTGGAAATAGATTAAATTATCTGATGAGACAGTGTAGAGTGAAAAGAAAAGAGGGCCACAGAGGACACCAGACGAGAAATAACTCGAGTCTGGTTTTATGTATGTCTGATAGGTGGAATGTTTATGGTAATAGTGTACTGCTTCCCCTTATCTTTGGTTAAGATCCTCTTCATTATATATTTCAGCTGAGAACCATGACTTTTACATGCCTGTTTTACCAGTATGAAAAACAGAATCTGCATGTCATTGTGTATATCTAGAGTGTGAATACTCCAGTCTCTGCTGGAGATGGCTCATACCTGCTTGTAAAAGCTGACTGTTAGATTGGATTGGTGGTTACCATAGGGAAAGGGGGGAGGGGGGAGGGCAAATGGAGTGATTAGGCTCACATGTGTGGTGATGGACTATAATTAGCTTTTGGGTGGTGAACATGATGTAATCTACACAGAATTCGAAATATATTATGATGTACATCGGAAAGCTATACAATGTTATAATCCAATGTTACTGCAATAATAAAAATTTCAGAATTTGTACTAGATAGCCCTTAAACACAGCCATTATTAAATATTAATTATATACGCTTAAAATTAAGTAAGTTATGCCAAAGCTAATGTGGTAAATACCATAACTCCTGTACCGTGCGATTGTCCCTGCTCTTGAGGTTATTGTGTCTTTTGGATCTATATGGTGGAAATACTATATAATCAGGTGCAAC